CTTACAAAACAAGGTTTTTATACAACAGAAGATTTTGAAAATTATGAAAAAATATTAATTGAAACAGATTCAATATACCAAAATAATGACTCAACTAAGACAAACAAACCTAAATCAAGTTCAAGTATTAAATATAATGAGATGATTAAACCAATTTGGCAAAAAATAAGACCAGCGACACCGACATCACCAAAAAAAATTAAAGAAAAAGAAGGAGAAGGTTTAATAAAATATACAGAAGGAGAACATAATGATTATAAATATATGCATAATTTAAATGAATTATTAAAAAGATTATATTTTATTGCTAGTGAGGAAAAAGCAGGTCATGATAATTTTTATAATGAAAAGATTAATATTATAAATTATTTTAGTTCTAAGTTGGCAAGATTAGTTAGGACTCCGCAAGGAATTGAGTATTTAATATCTTATATATCAAGTTTGCCTGAAAGAGTTGTTGAGGGATCAGGTCTTATGAATGATCTTTTAAATAGTAAGTTTATGCCAGAAATACATTGGCCTGGATATAATTTTCTTGGCCCCTTTACTGATTTAGAAAAAAATAAAAAACCAGTAAATGAACTAGATAAGGCAGCAATGGAACATGATTATTTTTATAAAGAACATATAGATATTGAAACAAGACATATTGGAGATAAAATTTTGGAAAATAAAGCAATGAAGAGGTTTTTAGCCTCAGATGCATCTATAGGTGAAAAAACAGCTGCCCTTGTCACTGCAAATGCAATGAGAGCAAAAAAGTATTTTGGTATGAATTTAAATTGATTTATTGAATTTTATTTCTATTAAATGAATTTAGATTTGAGTGATTCTCAAATAAAAAAGCTTGTAAAAGCTTATAAAAACAAAATTGATGTAGTTATTCAATTAAAGCATATACAGATTGGTAATGGAAAAAACAAATTTAATTTAACTGATAGACAAAATAATAAGTTAACTAAAGCTAAGAAAGACAAAAAAGGTGTGAGATTAAAATTTACAAAATCTCAATTTGGAAATAAAGATAAAGTAGGTGGTTTTTTACCTCTTATTATAGCAGGTATAGGCGCCCTTAGTGCATTGGCCGGAGGCGCTAGTGCTATTGCAAATACTGTTATTGATGCAAAAGATAAGAAATTAAAACGAGATGAGACAGAAAGACATGATAGAATGATGGAAGAAAATGTTAGAAATATTAAAACTTTACAGATTGGTTCAGGGGTTAAAAAAAGCAAAAAAAAGAAATAAAACCATTAACTAATTTTGATATTATTAAAGCAGGAAAAAATATTAAGAATTTTAGAGGTTGTTTTATGAAAGATAAGTTACCAGTAGAGCCTTGGAAAAATGAATGTGGAATATTAAATTTAAATAATTCTAATCAGCCTGGTTCACATTGGGTTGCATGGTTAAAAAATGGTAATAAAAAAATATATTTTGACTCTTATGGTCGTTCACCTCCAGTTAAAGCAATTGTAAATTATTTAGGAAAAGATGATTTATATTACACTACTGATCAACTACAAACTTATACAGACCCACCCATATGCGGTAATTTGTGTTTAGATTTTATTAATGCTTTATTACAGTCGTTGAAAGCAGGTTATGTATATTTATGTTTAAATTGTAAAAATTACAAGAGTATGACTGAATTTAGTAAAAACCAAAAGTGTTGTAGAAGTTGTAATATTGAAAAGGTAGTATGTGAATGTGGTAAAATAATTCATTTAAAATTCTATAAGAAACATTTATTAAGTAAATTTCATTTAGAAGGTTTGTATGATATGAGTAAAGAAAACATTCCTCAAGAACTATTTTACTAATATTTTATTACATTTTTTTCCTTATAAATGGAGAATATATTTGCAAAATATGACCGTACTATTATCCGTGAACAGGATAAAGTATTTTACCCTATATCAACATCAAATCTGAATGCCCCTAATCAGATTACTAATTTTAACATAAATGAAGAAAATAGTTTTTTAAGAGTTAGTAAGGCAAAATTTCGAATTTCTGGTCAAGTTTTACAGGCCGATGGTACTAGCTATCCTAAAGGTTCAAATGTAATGTTAGTTGACAATTTTCCTGGATTTTTGTTCGGGTCAATTTCTGTTAAAAAACATGGTAAAGAATTAGATAGAATTGATAATGTTGGTAGATGTGGTTTGATTAAAGGTACGGTTAGTTATTCCGCAAATGAGAGTGGACCAACAATAAATAATGGATTTCAATCAAGATTTAGTGGTGGTGGTTTTTTTAGTGTTACTGGTAAATTGTCTAATTTGTGTTTAGGATTTTTTAAAGATATTGTATATCCAGTATATAGAGGAGGTTTTGAAATAAGTTTTTTAAGACGTAGTGACGATGATGCTTTATTTAGAGGTAAGAATGATAAAACAGATGTGGTGCCTGGAGCTGGAAAAATTGTTATTGAGAAATTACTTATTAGGATACCAATTGTGACTTATAGTGATATGAATAGAGTTAAATTGGTAAATGAATTAGTTTCATTGTCAGAGAGAAACGAGTATATTTTTAGTTTCAAATCATGGCAAGAAAGTAATATTACTGGTAAAACACTACAAAAAGACATAACAAATATGTATAGAAATGTCCATAATCCTTTATTTGCTATTATAGCTTTTCAAACAGGTAAGTTAAATAACCAATTGACAGACTCAGTAGAATTTAGTAATTGTAATTTGAAAAATATTTGGTTGGGTGTTGATAGTATGAGATATCCAGAAGAATTATTAAACTTAGATTTTAAAAAAGAAGAATTTGATACTGCTTATGATATGTTAATGGATTATAAGAATGTTTATAATAGAGTACACAGAGACTTATCTTTAATGTATATTACTCCAACACAGTTTAAGGATACCAGACCATATTTTGTAATTGATATGAGTAGACAACCATCACAAATTTCTGGATCTAAAACAAGTATTGTCTTACATGCAGATTTTAATGAAGATGTGCCCGCTAATACCATTTGTTATATTTGTTTAGTTTCTGGTACCGAATTTTTCTATGATCTTACTAATAATACAATTAGAGAAAATATATAAAATATATACATCTTAAATAAATGGACTATTGCAAAAATTGTAAATCTAAAACTAGGAGTATAGGTATTCCTGAATTTATTAAAAAAAATAATAAATATAGGAGGTTATCAGTATGTAAAATATGTAATATAAATAAGAATAATATTTCAAAACCACCAGAACTTATAGAAGCTTATGAATTATTTAAACCAGCTAGAAAAAATTTTGAAACGAGACATTTTATACAAAGAGGTATAAATGATACTTGGCAAGCTGATTTATACTGTTTTTATAGACCGAAATCTAAAGATAGTGACCCCAATTATAATTTAAGAAATAAGCATAATGAAGTTAAAGTTAAAGATAATCATAAGGCATTGTATAAAGCTAATAATGGTTTTAAATATATTCTCAATGTTATTGATACATTTTCTAAAAAAGTTTATTCTGTAGCTTTGAAAACAAAAAGTGGATTGGAAGTATCTGAAGCATTTTCACAAATATTTAAACATAGTGTACCGAAAAAATTACATGTAGATAAAGGTAAAGAATTTTATAATAAAGATTTAAAACAATTACTAAACAAATATAACATTACAATGTATAGTACAGGCACCGATAAGAAGGCATCTATGGTTGAACGTTTTAACAGAACATTAGGTGATAAGTTGAAAAAAGTACTTTATTTAAATAATGTATGGATTACTGAATTGCCAAGGATTATTAAGACATATAATAATACATACCATAGAACAATAAAAATGAAACCTGCTGATGTAAGTAAGAAAAACGAGAAAGAACTGCTTTCCACTGTTTATGATTATGGTATTTGTAATTCCAAACCGAAATTTGAAGTAAATGATAGAGTAAGATTATCTTCAATAATTGATGTTTATAGAAATAAGTTAAAGACAAATTGGTCAAAGGAAATATTTACAATTGAGAACATTTTTAAATCGAATGTAAATTATTATAATATTTGTGATGTAACAGGCACGTTTTATGAACCGGAAATCTCGTTATCATTGTTATAAACCGAAAAACAGTCGTTTCCATGGGCGCAACTAGGGGGGGGCTTGGGAGTGCTTAGCACTCCCAATATCAAAATTAGCACTCCCAAATTTTCTGTACTGGTTTTTTACAATATCGGTAACAGTAAAACTTTTAATTTTATAAGTTATAATTAATTGACTGGTAAAATTGATAAATTATCAAAATATTGTTTTTCTAAGTTATTTTAATCTCTAATGGTCAATGGAAAAATATCAAATGCGTTTATTACCTATTATAATGTACCGCGTGTACAATTCATAGAATCAGTAGTTTTTATTTTAAAACATTTTCTTAGATTCCCGACCAAATGCTCAACAACCAACATTAATTTTACCGTCAATATTATAATACCGGCAGTGTGTATATCCAGTGTGATATCGTCGCCACTTGCCACCGCAACGGCGCAACGTTCATAAGTACATAATAGTGTAGTGTGGCGACGAGTGAGCGGAGAGTGTTGTACTTTGTACTGCCGAGTGCCGGCGTAATACAATAAATTAATAATAGAATTATTAGAATTCAATTTAATATATTATGGATTACGGATTTAAAAATTATATTTATACGTCTTGTAAACAATATTTCCACCTGGCCCCTGGGTACAATAATACGGGCCCGTCATTCACCACTATAATATTGTTTAATTTGATTTTGTACTCGTAAGTTGGTACTTGATAATATTACCTAATGTAGACACTATAATACTATATTATATTATTGTTATTTTACATTTAACTGTGTGTATATTTTATACTGTGTACACTTGCTCAATGCATATCGTGGTTTAGCGGATCTGCCAAATTTAGATCAGCTTAGTTAACGATTGACGATTATACGTATAACATACTACATTGTCGTATTTTTGTTTTCACTCTTGAGCTCTATTCCATTAAAATGTTTAGTATTTTTAATAAAAATAAAACAAATTCTCGCGTCACAACTAAAAATGATACTTTGAAAAATGACCAACTACTAGAAAAAGATGATATTATTGATATTGATGATCCCATTATTCCATCGACCGATAAAATAAATTTAGTTGAGCACAACTGCAATGATTTGGGAAACATAGAAACTGGACCTATGCGCCCCATACTAACAGTAAGTGGATTATTTATTTGTGCTTATTAGTTATTACGATTTATCTTTAAAGTACCTAAGCATAGATTTATTGTAATATGCAAAATAGGTATTTAAAACATCAGTTTTTAAGAAATTACACTTGATTATTTTTATTTAGCACATTTTTTTTCAACTGTATATTTAGAAAAGGTAGTAATTTATTGTGTATAATAATTTTATAGGTATCTAATATTATTTAGAAAAGGTAGTAATTTATTGTGTATAATAATTTTATAGGTATCTAATATTATTTCTTTTTTTTTTTAATATCAGGCATATCCAAAAACAAAATTTGGTTCTCAGTTTAGGTCATTCAGCAGTGAATATTTCAATACTTATAAGTGGCTTGAATACAGTGTTCTGTGTGATGCAGCATTTTGTTATGCTTGTCGGATGTTTGGTAATAAAAATATGGAAGATACTTGGACAACAATAGGATTTAATAACTGGCATAAAGTAAGTTTAAAAAACATAATTAATTTGAATAAATGTAATACTTCTAGATAGTGAGTTAGGTTGACTAGAAAAATCGGAAGTCAGGATTGTACATACACAATTGAACAATTATTTATTTGATTTTGAAAATTAAATTGTGTAGGTACTTACTGTGTTATTTTATATAGCTTTCAGAAAGATTGAAGAAACATAACTCTTCTAAGAGCCATTTGACATTTGTTTCAAAACTGGCTCTTAGTATATCAGCTAAAAAGTCTGGAAGTGTTCTATCACAACTGTCTGCTGCACATCAAGAAGAAATTAAGCAAAATCGAAATTATATGTGCCATATTATAGATATAGTTTTATACCTCAGTAAACAAGGAATGGCATTTCGAGGTCACTATGAAGACACTACTTCACTTAATCAAGGTACCTAAGTTTTAATAATAATATTATATTAGTATTTCATTAAATGCATAAAATAAAAGTATAGAATTAAGTTTTGAGCTTAGCAAAATAAACTTTAGCTTACAATATAGGATTAATTTATTTTTTATTGGTTTTAAATTTAGAATTATATTTACTTATTATTTAACTATTTAAAAATAAAATTAATAATTAATTTTAAGGTAATTTCAAAGAGCTGTGCAACATGTATGTGAAATCAGTACCTGGATTTCAAAGTATGTATAACCGGCATGTTAATTATACTAGTTGGAAAATCCAGGATGAAATTATTCAACTATGCGCTGATGAAGTTAATGAAATTATTGTAAATGAGGTTTCTTCTGTTGGATTTTTTGCTCTGATGTGTGATGAAGCAAGGTAATTATAATAGTATAGTCTTGCATGAAGGATTAATATTTAATATTTATTTATTTTTAATAAAAACTTAATGTTTTAGATGCCATAAAGAAGAGCAATTATCTATATGTATTAGATATACAGTTGAGTTAAATATTTATGAATGGTTTTTAGGGTTTGTTGACGTATCTAGTGGTCAAAAGTCAGACCAGATTGTCAAAACTATATTTGACTTTTTTAAAAAACAAAAAAATAGTCTGCAACATGTAAATATTGTAGCACAGTCATATGACGGTGCCAGTGTAATGTCTGGTCACTTAAATGGCGTACAAACTAAAATAAAAGAGCACCATCCAACTGCTGTTTACATACATTGTATGGCACACCATTTAAATTTAGTTGTTGTGGATGTATGTACATCAATTAAGGTATATCATTTATATTTTTTTATTAAATATACTAACAACAAATATAATATATTAGTATTGTGTTTAAATTTTGATTTAGGAGGCTCGTAATGTATTCAACACCCTTGAAGCGGTATATGTTCACTTTTCGAAACCTACAAACCATATTAAATTATCTGAAGTACAAACTAAATTAGGTTTGAAAAAAGGTTCTATAATGAGGGTTTGCGATACTCGTTGGATTTGCCGTTTTAAAAATTGTAAAGCCATCATTGAAAATTATGTTGCTATTGTTGATACACTTAAGATTGAAATTGAGGATCAAGCTGATAAAAATGTGCCTCAAGCAATAGGTAATTGTTATTTTTAACTGTATGAATACAAATATATTTTTTTTTAATAGTTTAATTATTAAAAAATTGCTTATAATAGGAATTCTCACTTCAATAGGAAGAAGTGAATTTATTGTTTTAATTTTTATTCTTCATGAGGTATTAAGTATAATAAATGTATTGAGCAACCAACTACAGAATATTGATACTACATTAGGAAAGTCAGTAAATATTATTAATGGAGTTATATCAACATTTAAAAGTCTAAGATCTGATGAATCGTTTACTAACCTTTGGACTAGAATTGAACAATTTTCTGAGGAAAATGAAATAGATCTTCAAATTCCAACTACAGGTATATTTTTTATCTTGTATATTTAATTGTATATAACAATTTATAAAAACAAGTTATAGTCTTCAAAGTACTTTAAATGTTTTGTTTAGGATCAAAACGTAAACGAAATCATCCAAATAAATTGAATGATTTTGCTTTATTTACCAATACTAGTGCTCAACATGAAACAGTAGATAAGGATGTTGCAGTTAATGTTTATTGGAGACAAACAGCTTATATGCGTGTCATTGATCAAGTGATAACTAATTTAGAAAAAAGGTTCTCAGCTGAAAGCTTATAGTTAGCAATATCAATAGATAACTTTTTAAGTCTTGATTTTGAAAATGGAATGCTTTTTATAAACCACTATAAAGTAATTATAAATAATAATATTATGAAAATATAAAATTGTGTAACCCTACTGTTACTTACCTACTCTTCAATATTTTATGCAGGACCTTTTAGGAGTATGCATTAATAGTTTAAAAGCAGAAATGATTGTTCTAAAAAACAGTTTACCCACTAGTTACAATTTTCAAGATATAAAGAACATAATAAACAAGAATGTTTATCCAAATTTATATAAATTGATACAAGTCGCAATCACAATACCTGTATCATCAGCAACATGCGAAAGATCTTTTTCAGCAATGCGAAGAGTAAAAAATTGGCTGCGAACAAGTATGGGACAAAATCGATTCACAAATCTAGCTTCAATATGTATTGAAAGAGATATTACTAATAATATTGATACTGAAAGAATTTTAAATAAGTTTGCATTAACTAATAATAGAAAAATTAATTTATTATAACTCAATATGAGTATTATTATTATAATAAATGTATATTGCGATGTGCTGAATTGATATTTTATGTTAGATTATTTAATGATTGTATAAAATGTAAAATTGTTATATATAATAATTTTGTGCCTAAAACAAAGGGGGGGGGGTTCTTGTGTTGTGCTTTAGATTTTAGCACTCCCATAAATTTTACCCTAGTTGCGCCCATGGTCGTTTCCCGCAGGATATTGTTATCATGACAGCAACAAGTTCCAATTCCGTTATACCCCCATGGTTATCTCTCTGATAGTGGTGTACCGAGTAATATTTTAACGACGTAATTTATATTTTTAATTTCAATCAATTTAATTCTATTCAATAAATTTTTTCCCTATAAATGAACAAACTATATTGTTTTAAGTGTAAACAAAAAACGGATAATATAAGTCCACTTATAACAAAAACTAATCACAACAGGAAGAGATTGTCTGCAAAATGTAAGCTATGTAGAACATTAAAATCAGGATTTATTAAGTAGATTACTAACAACTAAATTGTTATCCATTTTCTATGTTTAGCATCAATTCGCTATTATATAGAAAATTAGATAGTTGAAAAAGCTTATGAATGAAAAGCAATGTATTCTAATTTATTTAACTTAACTTATATATAATTGTACTATAATCTGAAAATAAACACATGAAAAAATATTCTAGTAACCTGAAAAAATTCCAAAATAATAATAATAATCGTATGGAGAAGCTAATTTTTTGCATTTTCTATGTTTAGCATCAATTCGCTTTTATATAGAAAATTAGATAGTTGAAAAAGCTTATGAATGAAAAGCAATGTATTCCAATTTATTTAACTTAATTTATATGGAAATGAAATAATAATATTAATATATACCCCGACCAACTTAATTTATATGAAATTTTGCTATAATTTGAAAATAATTTTTGCGAGATTTGTAAGAAATTAACATAATATATAGGTACTCCAGCCACTAGCTAATTTGCCATCCATTTTCTATGTTTAGCATCAATTCACTATTATATAGAAAAATTAGACAGCTTAAAAAGCTTATGAATGAAAAGTAATATATTCTAATTTATTTAACTTAATTTATATGGTATTTTGCTATAATTTGAAAATAATTTTTGCGAGATTTGTAAGAAATTAACGTAATATATTAATAAAATTAATAAATAATAAATAATACTAATACTAATGAATAATATTTTTTTTGGCTACTCACCGTTCTTGGATCCAGATGTTGAAGAAAAATAAAACACTGATAGCCAGTGGTTTCTTGCTATTTATTTGCAGTATATAAGCACTATATAAGTGTTTCGGTCTTGAGATCCTTTATGCCGAGCTGTAGGTGTTGATAAGCTGTTAATGTACTAGTTTACACTTGTCCACGGAATTTTTACATCAATTCAATTATTAAATTAAATCAATGAAATAATACTATTAAATTAAATTAATGAAATAATATTATTAAATCAAACCAATGAAATAAATTATGGCTGTAAAAATTGTATGGACAGGTGTTAACTGTTTTAGCCGTTTATAGGCATACTGCGTTAACAGTGTTAGCCGTTTATAGACATACTGCGAGTGACAAAAATTCTCGATAGTCTCCTACTATCGTTTTTTAAAACGTATTGGAATAATTGTCATAATATATATATTATATTATATTTCCTATAACGATAAGCAAATATATGGCGGAAGCTGCTTGGCTGTTGTGTCTAAATATTTGTAATGTTTAAAACATGTATAAATTGTTTTAAATAATGTTCTTGGCATATTTCTAAATTCTGTATTTTTTTTTTTTTTTTTAAAATGTATGTAATTTCATTTAAAATATGTGAAATATCATTGTATTTGTATATAAATTGTATACAAAAAGTACTCAAAATCCGATGTAAAAATATCAAATTTCGATGTAAAAAAGTTGAAATAAGCTAATTTTAAGGTGATTTTTTGAATGTTAAAAAAACTGAATGCGCCAGAACATACACAATCTATCTACTGGCAATGTACAGTTAAAACTTTGACAGCATTTTTAAGAACGCTTATAATAATAATATGTCTGTAATGAACCAAGTATAAATAAGAGATGTTATAATTTGTCTTAATATTGTAGGTACTTTAAAAAAATTTTATATTTTTTTTGATTTTTAATTTAATTTAATTAACTATTCATATTATAATATGGCTGTAATGAACCAAGTATAAATACGAATTTGTAATTTTGTTTACTTTTGCAAAAATATAGCTCTTCATTTTTAAAATTTTACCCTTGAGCAGTTTAAATGTCGCCTTTTTACACTTGATCAAAACTCGGGCGCAGTTTACGTGTGTGATTTTGTGTTAACCTTTTCCTTTTTGCGCAGTTTACAATCGCCGTGTTAGACAAAAAAAATTATTATCGTCGTTATTATGACTGCAATCTGTGGAATTTGGGGAATTAAAAGTATCACGCAACATTATCATCAAAATAATAATTATATATTCCAAACATTTAGTCATAAATTTAATTCAACTCCAATAGCCTCTGATACGGCGTCTTAGATATGCAATTTCACTACATCACTGTCGATAAGCATTATTATTAATTTTTATGCATTTAATAGGTATTATAATAATATAATAGTTATACAATATTATTATTTATAGTTATACAAGCAATATGTTATCATACTTTGTATTTTATGTTTGTTTTTAAAACAACCCTTTTTGGCCCATGAGATAAAACTTAGTTGATATTTATAGAAAAAAAAACAAATAAAAAAATTTAAAAATTAAAATATCCGTAAACAGCTCAAAAAGAATCAAAATATTTTAAAAATTGTATGGTGTATAGGAAATGCTAATGGAATATCAGTGAAATTTTTATGTATCTACAGTTATTCGTTTTTTAATTACAACAAAATAAAGAAATCACTACATGAGAAATCGAGTGAATATCCTATGTTGTAAAAATTTGAATTTCAATCGCTCATAAAAATTTAATTTGACTTTCTTAATGACATTTTTTTTTTTTGTAAGGTAGACAACTTATGATTAACTTGTATTACATTTTAAAATCTATATTTAAAAAAAAAATTTTTACGAATTTCTAACTCGAAATAATTTGCAAATTTTCGTGATTTTTCCATATTTTGTCATTTTTTTGAACTTTAAATGCTTAAAAAAAAACTGTGACTAACGATTTTTAATATTTTTCATCTCCCTTTGAAAAAATATACTAGGAGCCTTCTATTAAAATTTCAAGCTTTCGAAACCAACAAATAAAATTTTATTGATATTTCTAGAAAAAAAAAAAACTAAAAAAATGGAGAATGAAATGTCCCTAAACAGTTTAAACAAATCATAATATTTTAAAAATTTTATCGAGTATAGAAACTGCAAATATAAACAACCAGTGAAAATTTCATGTATCTACAGTCATTTGTTTTAAAGTTACACCAAAAACAAAATCAATTTGTGGAAAATCGATTATGCCTAAAAATTCCCGTTTTTCCTTAATTTTATGTGTTTATTATGTACGTCGGTTGTGAAAACTATTAGGAATTTTAAAATTATACCTCCCGAATGCACCAACTAGATTCACTTTCCAATCGAACAAGATACTGAAGTTGAACATCGAAGCATTCATTTGACTACTTATCGTGTACACAGACACAAAAAAAAAAAACACATCATTGTAAAATCAATACATTCATCGTTCCACTCAGAATCTAAAACAGTAAGAGGTTGCGTGACTAAGGAGCTACATTACCAAATTACCACATTAACCCATTAGTAGCACTTAGCTTGGAAGTATAAGACATATTTAACATTATAATATGATGACAATACATATTAATAATAAAAGTAACAAAAGAGGCTTAGATCAATATAAAAATAGTCACGATCCAAAGTGTGTTTCCTGTGTTAGTTTTACGTTACCAAAACTGGTCGGTATTTGATTCCGATGGTATTATCGGCTATTATGTACGTATGTAGCTAGGTACAGTTGAATAATTTAGGATACGCGTGTCCATTATTCACATACTAATATACTATACTTTTTATTGGATAATGAGTTTTCAATTGAGGAATTGTCACTCTATATATAAGTAAAATATAGTCATTAACGATAAGAAAAATACAAAAACTACTAGGCGTGGTTTTAAACAAAATATACAGAATGCATACGTCGACAAAGAATAAAATAAATATACATTGAGTAAAATCGACTGGATAAAAGCCAAGAAAGATGTAGGTATATATACTAAAGTACTATTATTTATACCTAATCGTATAATTAGTCGTCCACACCCACAGATTACCCATAGATTATCCAAACTCGACGACTAAAAATTTTATAGGTTATAGAATATACTTCAAAATGAGTAAGTATTAGCATTTTCAGTTTTGATTAAGATAGTATTCAGAGAGGAGTGGCACAGCTGCACAGGAGTACCTCGCAAAATGGAGTCCCACGCAAATATCTCCACTCAAAAGTTAAGAAACAAGTTAAATACCTATAACTATAAGTTTATAATTTTAAGTATAATTAAAAATGTTAAATTCTAAATTCTAATGACTATAATGATTTCAAATTATTTGAAATTTAAAATCGACATCCTGAAGAGCCTGTATACTTTGAGTGAAACGGGCTATTTATGAAAATTTATGGTAAGACATTATCTGTGTATGGATTATTTATGACCGTTGAGAATTAATTTTTAATTATTAGCCATGGGTGGGGCTGGAGACACGTGTTCCCAACCGCACCCACGGGAATCGTTTATTTGCGGCCGGAATTCTTTCGTAGGAATTCCCAAACCTATCATAGAACTCATAGGAATGTCCAACTAATTATAGGAATAAAAAAATTCAGGGAAACCAATTATTAGCCATGGGTAAGGGTTGGAGACACGTGTTCCCAGCCCCACCCATGGGAATCGTTCTTTTGCGGCCGGAATTCTTTCGTAGGAATCCGAACCTATCATAGGAATTCATAGGAATGA